GTCTTGCGGCTCAAAGAGAGCAGAGGTATCGGAAAGACGGCAGCGAATAAAGAAGCGAAAGAGATAGTCGACGTCTGCGAACAGCAGAAACAAACCCGCGTTCGTGACGAAGAAAAAGAGAATAGTAAAGAATATGAGTCGTCTAGCGAAGACTCGCAGATGGACGTAGAGGAAACTCCGCAACCGAGCCAAGAAAAAGAAAAGACAGAGTTGGAAACGACGACGCAAGAGGCAGGAAACAAGGAAACAAAGGGCGAGTTTACTACCGTGAAGAAAAAAAAGAAGAGGCGTAGTCCCAAGAAAGTCCTAAAAAATAAACAATGTTCTCCTTAAAGATCCTGCAGCTTAACTGCAATAGGAGATGGGATTGCCACGATTTGATCGACATAGAAACTGAACAGTCTAGTATCGACGTGGTAATGGGACAAGAACCGAACGTAAGAAAGACATTAAACCTGACGACAGACGAAAGAAAAGACGTATTTATAATAGTAAATAAAAGAGCCGGAAAATCACTGCGTTCATACAGAGGGAACGGATATGTGGGTACAGAAACGGAAAAGTACCTTTTCCTGTCGGTGTATACATCTCCGAACAAACCCATACAAGACTTCGAAAATCTCCTTGACGAACTCGAGCACATAGTTAGAAATACGAAGAAACTACTAGTCATCGGAGGAGATCTCAACGCCAGAACACCGATGGCGGGAGACCGAACTCTCAACAGTCGCGGAAGGTTGTTAGAGGAGTGGGTAGCAAAGAACGGTATCGTAATCGCAAACAGAGGAGACACCCCGACGTACCGAAGTTCCCGGGGAACATCGGTAATTGACATAACGATGACGAGAGCGAGCACGGCAGGTCATATAAAGAACTGGAGAGTAGCGGAAGGAGTTGAAATGCTCAGCGACCACGCCATGATCCTATACGAGATATGCACGAACAGCGAAAGGCATGGTAAAATGGAGAGTGCACGCGGATGGAAGTACACGCCGGAATCGATGGCTCGATTGCAGAAAACGTTCAAAAAGAACGCGGAGCGGATGAGGGATCCAAATCCTCAAGGTCTGGTCGACATGATAACAACGGCATGCGATCAGACTCTGAAAAGACGTTCGAACCGGAGCCATAGAAGACCGGTCTACTGGTGGACGGCGAAAATAGGGGAGGCTAGAAAAACCTGTGTAGCGAAACGAAGGGCGCTACAAAGAAACAATGCTAGACAGGACCAAAGCCGACCCGAACAAATAGTCGCCGAGTATACGGACGCGAAGAAAAACCTCCGAAAAGAGATCCAAAAATCAAAAGAGAAAAAATGGAAGGAACTATGCCTCGAGCTGGAGGACAACGTATGGGGAACGGCCTACCAGATCATCGCCAAAAGATTCAACATAAGAAAAAGAGAAGAAATGGACCTCGAGACGAGCACGAAGCAGTTTGAAAAATTATTCCCGCAGTCGAAGGAGGAAGAAGAGCGAGAGCCGGACGACGGAGAAGGAGCCGAAATCGATCCGTTTACAATGGCGAACTCGAAAAGGCGATCGGACAACTAAAGACCAAGAAAGCTCCGGGACACGACGACATTACTGACGAAATATTAAAGACCTGCGTCACGGCGAACCCGGACGTCTTCCTCGCCGTATATAACGACTGCCTATCGAACGGAAACTTCCCGGACATCTGGAAGAGAGCAGTACTGGTGCTGGTCCCAAAACCTGAGAAACAGAACCAAGAAAAAACTTATAGACCGCTATGTCTAATGAGCACAGTCGGCAAGCTGCTAGAGCGGCTGATTAATAGTAGACTTGTCGCAGAACTAGACGACAAAAGCGTGATCAGCGAAGCCCAGTACGCATATAGGAAGGGCAGACTGTAGACGCCGTCATGTCCATACTCGAAGAGACAACCGGACGGAAGAAAGTAACGACGCAACATCGGGGGTTCCGCATTATGGTACTGCTGGACGTGAAGAACGCCTTCAATTCCGTCCCGTGGAATCAGGTGAGGAGGGCACTGAGAGACGCCGAAGTCAGCGTTGCGCTGAGGAGACTCCTGAACTCGTACCTCCGAAACAGAACCGTAATTATTTCCAACGGACAGGAGAGACGGATGACCTGCGGTGTCCCGCAGGGCTCAGTCGTCGGTGGAACCCTGTGGAACGTCTTCTACGATAGAATTCTCCGCCAGAAACTCGAAAGCGGAGTCCGGATCGTCGGATATGCGGACGATCTGGCGCTGGTCGTATGGGGAAAGACGCCCGAAGAAGTGCGTGAAAAGGCTGAGTACTGCGTGGGACAAACGAAAAGTACTCTAGAAATGATGGGCCTGCGAATAGAGCCGGGCAAAACGGAACTCGTTATCCTTGACGGAAGGAGAAAATTGCCACAGATGGGCATCACGGTGGGTGGTGTTCGAGTCGAAAGCGGAAAGGCGGTCAAGTACCTCGGAGTACACCTGGATAAAGACGTCAGAATGACGGAACACGTCAGAAGGGTGAAAGATAAGACCGGCAAGATGCAGAATGCCCTCCTGCGAATCTTGCCTAGGAAGGGCGGCCCGAGTCAGAGCAAGAGGAGAATACTGTCCACGGTGGTTAGTTCAGTGGCATTGTACGCAGCGCCTGCATGGGAATCGACGTTGAGGCATCGACGGTACGTCCAGATCCTGCGATCGATTGAGAGAAGATCATCCATCCTGATAACGTCGGCGTACAGAACCGCATCGACGGATTCGGTGGGCGCCCTGGCCGGCAGTCCTCCCTTCGACCTGCTAGCGTGGGAAAGATCGAGAAACTGGGAGTCGAGAGGTGAACGGAAAGAAGAGAACCGGATGGAAATGCTGAGAAGGTGGCAGGAGAGGTGGGAAGGATACGCCGGATGGACGAGAACTTTTATAGCGGACGTCCGCGTGTGGCGAGAGACGCCCCCCCCCGACGGACTACTACACGACGCAGGCTATCACCGGACATGGCATATTCGCGAGTTACCTCATGAACATAAAGAGACTGGAATCTGACGACTGTTGGTTTGGATGCGGAAAGGAGGACACGCCGGCGCACACAATATTCGCGTGCAAGCACTTCGAGGAAGAGAGAAGAGCCGCAGAGAGACGGATAGGCGAATGGATCGATGAGAGAAATGTGGCAGACCTGATGGTTAGAAGCAGAGCCGATGGCGAGGTGGTCATGGACCTCTTACGAACAATTATGAAGAAGAAGGAACTCGAAGAACAAAGACGAGGTAACTAACAGCGAAAGAGATATATATAGATATATAGATACCCCGACGCAATGCCCAACGGGCGGATTCCAGGAGGAGAGGGGGAGTTTTTAGTGGGTAAACTAGGGGCTGCGTGATAGTAGTCCCACACTCCCGGCCGAAACATGTTATTTCCAACAACATCTAGAAGGCGCCAACAGTAGGCCGGGGTGCGTAAGTAGTGTAAGAATGCCGGTTCTAGACCGGAAGTTAATCCTGCCAATCCTGCGGTGACGTCACGCCTCAATGTATTAGGTATAGGGGGGGATACCAACCAAAGTTTGGGGAAAAAAAAATTAGGTTGGTATTAAAAGTAACTAGAGATCTAGGGATTTTTAGAAAATTAAATAGAAAAATTTAAATACAATGGCGCCACCTATGATTGAGTGGTGTAAGTACTAGATTTAGGAATTTTTTATAAAATTAAACAGAAAAATTTAAATANTAATATAAAAGATCAGGAAATTTGTAAAACCGTATAATAACAGTATCAAAGTACAACCGAAAAGATCACCATACTCTGTACAAACCCCTTCGCTTGGAGAAAATAAAGATAGTTAAGTAAGAAATTGTGTTTATCTTCCTACTACGACGTTCAACCGGACGACATCTTGAAACTCAGGCGTACATTACATGTGATTAACATTAAAAAAAAAATTAATTACATTTCAAAGCATAATATAATCTATGATTCACAATTAAAAAAAATTAATTACATTTCAAAGCATAATATAGAAAGAAACAACATCGTATTTTTAATTTATATTACCATAATACAAAAAAACAATATAAAAACAATACATAATCTGTAGCATATGAAAATTTTGTGGAAAAGTAACAATTCTAAATTATGAAGAAAAATAAAACTACGCTAATGTGGACGGAGTGGTGTAGCTAATTAAAAAAAATCAAATGAGCTACAGACTCAATCCACATCATACGCAGTTAACAAAAAAAGATTATAAAGAGATATCAATTCTTGGGTATAACATAATTAAAGAATTTTAATATAACAATATCTAACACATAAGATTCGAAATTTTATTATATAGAAAATAATCGAGACTTAAGTGATTGACATTTAATATATTTGAAGTGGAACGTAAAGTAATCTCTCTCTCTCTCTCTCTCTCTCTCTCTCTACGGTATAACATAATTGAAGAATTTTAATATAACAATAACGAACTCTAAGAACCGGAATTTTTATAATAAAAAAAAATACCCGAAACTTATGAGTTTGTTATTGAATGTATATATCTGAAGTGGAACTGAAATTGTTATTAATTCAAAGAGAAAATATAATGAACATTGAAAATTTTTAAGATAAAATGAATCTATTAATGCGATCTCTAATAGTAATAATAATATTGTTACTAATTAGAAACCACACCAATAAAATCGATTAGAAAATAGCATTAAAAGAAAAAGATCGATTAGAAATAGCTTAAATGGGTATTTTCACTTATTGCGCGCTCACTTCACCAAGCGAATGTATTAATTCCATTATTACAAATATATCGCTTGGAGTCATTTGGTGATAGAACCAATTTATTTTGTAATGCTGTAAATATGTTATGATTGAAACTTCTAAATAACGTTTGTTTTTTAAATAAAACCGATTTTGAATTTAAACAATCTAAATAATTTTGAAACGATATGTTATGTTTAACAATTTTCTCAACTTTCTTAACGCCTTTAGATTTCTTTGTAACCCGACCATCAGCGACCCTATTCGCATACACTTTAGACGTTTGACCTCAAACCGATAAATTCAACCATTATGTTCCCGCAATTCTCGTCTTTCATTTTGCCCAAAACAGCTTTATTACGTAACGGTATGTCTAACTGATTATCAGGACTGTAGTTCGATGTGTCAAATTTATCTAAATTCAATTTCACGTCTCTATAAACATCATCGGAATCAATTAGTACGGTGAAGCTATCGGTATCCATGTAACATAAGCGAATAGATTCACCGTACTTTGGTTTTAAGAAATCATAATAAAAATTATACATTAACAATTTAGACAATTCTAAAACCGTAAAACCAACATATAGAGGTTTATCGTAAACGACATGGAGACGATCCATTTGAATTGCCGAAAACGTTTCTGTGAATATGCTTATGCTTTTAAAATTTAATTTCGCAATTAAACTCCGAGCTCCTAAACGAGGACGACCGGAGATTTCCCTAGTATGAACATCATCCCAACTGGTCACTAATCTTACATCGACTCGCTTATCTACATTTTCCATGGTTTTACCAAAAACCGCATTATTCATTAACTTGAAAAAATCTTTTTCAAAAGAATTATTAGCGGATTGGCGTAATGCTGTATTCTTATCGATGTAAGATTTCAACCAGGTAGACTGTCTGAACGATAAAACTCTATTAATTTTAGAAACTTTAAGACCGTGAGCAACGGCCTGCTTTAAATTTCTATAATGCACAACATAATTTGTTTTATTAAATAAATTTGGAATCAATCTTTTATCGCTTTCACATCTACCGTTAGGTGGTAAAATGTTTTCACATAAAAAAGGTAAATCATTATGCGTATCATGCAAATACTCGGGGTATTCGATATCTACATCTAAAATGTAACCGTAATCTGAAGTATCTGATATATTATTAAAATTAAAATTTAGAATTTGGGTATCATCTAACCACTTGAAACTGGAAACCGGTAAATATTGCGACATCGCCCATCCATACAAATTATTCGCGTCCCAATACATTAAATGCGATGATGGTAAATTGGGGTTATAATTATCCATATATTTATTATTAGCTTTAGCGTACCGTAGGGAGTGTCTCTTGTTG